GGGGACATGATTCAGTCCATAGCAGAGGGCCAGAGGGACTAATGGGAATTCTGCCTTTTTATTCTTATCCGCATGTTCCATACCACTTAATACAAATTAAGAACAACCCCAAACAGCTTGCCTCGCCAGAGTTGTTGTCTTTTCTTGACCTCAGGTTGAACTTTATGGTATAGTGTGGCATTTCCCCTTTTTGAAGCTGTCTCTGGTATTTTGTAGATAGTTGATTAATTTGATTTACTGTTTTTATTTTATTTTGTTGTGTATTATGGTAAATCAGAGCTGCAGTTCACAGCAGGCATCAAAGTAACATCCAAGTGGATTAAAGAGTTAAATGTAAAACAATATTCCATAAACATTTAAATGAAAATATTGACGACACGTACTTCTTTTTTTATTTAATTAGAAGACTAAACGTAAAAGCAAAAGTACAAGTTAAGTCAAATAGAGCTTCTTTTACTTCTAAAATTGACAACTTTTTTCTTTGATGAAAATGTGGTAGTCAAGCAATATGTATTGTTAGCAGGATTATAAATTGGCATATCTTTCTGGAAATAGTCTGACAGTATAAAAAATATACATCAAGCCTTAAATATGTTCATACCCAAAGATATTGTCTCCATAATATTTAAGGGCCTAGGATATTCTGCTGAGTGCTTTGGAGAAGCAGAATAGCACAGGTAAAAAGAGCCCAGATTTTAATATTTCCTCCACCTCTAATTTACTCTGCAGCTTTGGACTGTTTAGTTAACCTCTGCCTCAGGTTTGTCACCTGTTAACGTGGGGATAACTATAGTATATATCGTAGTTTTCATGCAGATTAAATGGCAAATAGTCAATTAATAAGTGTTATTTGTTTTACTAGTGTTCATAAAACACCATGGTCTCAATTTTGATTAAAAATGCAGAATACCGAATATAAAAGGAATTATCTCTGGATTGTGGAGGTATTTTTGCCTTTATACTTTTTAGTGTGTTTTTTTTTTCTTTTAATCAGGAAAAAAAAAAGTTGTTTTAAACCTTTACAAAGAACAACCAGGCCATTTGTGGAGAGTTTGTAAATTTTTGTTTTTAAGTTTAAAAATTAACTGGTGTGACCTATTATTAAAGCTAAGTTCAAACTACCATTTGAAGATATCTAATCTCCACACTTTTAAAGACCAAGCAAAGAAATTGTTTAAGTTCATCTGATATTTAATTCTTGAATATCCCTTTCAAAACTGTAGACATTTATTGAGCTGCTGTTTAGCCCCCTCACAAATTTAGTCCAGGCTGTAAGAAGCTGAGCTATTTAGTTACATTTAGCACCTTTTGAAATTGTTATAGTGAATAAAGGTCCTGCTCCTGAATAGTACCAGACTTTGTATTCTTTGCATATACATTTAGCCAGCTTTATTCTCGAGATTCTTAGTTGTTGATACTTGTGCCAACATAAAATCTTGAAAATGGTATTTGAGTATTTCAGATATTTGTGTCTCAGAAAATTGTTGCTCTAGCAACATTATTTTTCTTAGTGTTATTTAAAATAGTTTTTGATTCCTCATTTATATTTATAAAGGTTAGTACATTTCTTACATTTTCATTAGGTAGAAAAATGTGAACATGGAAACTTCTGTTTTAAGAAAGTTTCTAAATAGTTTTCTAAAATTAAGATCAATTTGTGTTCACAAAAGCAATGGAAAGAATTTAAAAGCAGCCTTTTATTTATTTATTTTTTTTAATTTTTTTTTTTTCAACGTTTATTTATTTTTGGGACAGAGAGAGACAGAGCATGAACGGGGGAGGGGCAGAGAGAGAGGGAGACACAGAATCGGAAACAGGCTCCAGGCTCTGAGCCATCAGCCCAGAGCCTGACGCGGGGCTCGAACTCACGGACCGCGAGATCGTGACCTGGCTGAAGTCGGACGCTTAACCGACTGCGCCACCCAGGCGCCCCTAAAAGCAGCCTTTTAAATGCATGGGTGTGATATCTAAAGTAGTAGATATATAAAGATTTTAATGCAAAGAGATAAAGCAATATATTAATATAACTTTGAAGATGAGAATTCCCTTCATTTTTGATCAAAAGGAGTAATGGTCATTTAAAAATAATGATTCACTGAATTTTTAATGCATCACTGACTTTTTTAAAGGGTCAGATAAGCCAATCGTACATGACTTAAAGTTTATAAAGAAATCACATTTTTACTTTTTCCATTCAGTTATGAACATAATTTAAAAGTATATTTATTTTGATGTAATAATAGATAAATCAGCTTGTATTTTTTTTTATTGTTAGGTGTTTTGTGTGTGTGTGCATGCATGTGAGCACGTATGGTAAAATTTTACAGATTATAAGTTTACCTATAATAGTAATTCATTTATCATTGCTTTAGATTCCTTAACTTTAGTCACATCTCAATTTTTTATTTATCCATCTTCCATTCCTTGCCAATAGTGTTGCACTTTTCTACAATTTTGGAAAATCTTGGAAATCAGATCCAGGGATTATTAAAGCTACAGAAGAACAAAAGAAAAAGGTAGCAAGATAGAATCTAACTAGTCACATGTGTTTGTGAAATTATCAGTATTTATACCAGTTATTAGAGTACAAAGAAAGAAACTGTCTTTTAGAACATAAAAAAGAAGTTTCAAACCAAACTGAGATTGTGCGTAATTATTGCTCACCCTCGATACTCCTGAATGCCTGTCCTTACACTTCCATGACATTTTTAAATTTCATGTTTCTGTCCTTTATAAGAATTGTGATTGCTTTGAGGGATGAGTACAATATTTTAAACATCTCTGTAAACCCTCAGCAAATAGTAATGAATTCAGTAAATGTTTGTTAAATGTGTAACTGGAAGACCAAAAAAGTGGTTGATAGTGCACATATTTTGTTTTAATAATATTTTTATACACCACACACACACCTTATATATGCATGTATATATGTGTGTGTGTGTATATCTATATCTATATCTAATCCACAGCACCTCTCACCTAAAGCTCAGGTACTTAGGAAACCAAATTGACAGTCTGAAGGTGTCACATAAGAGAATTAGACTGGAGGCAGTTAAATTATCTTAAGAGCTATTTTATCCAGTCTCTGAAAACAAAACAAATCCTAATGAATTATTTCTGTCTATGAAACACTAGAGCACTAGCAAGTTCCTAGGGACTAATCCCCCCTTCTCTAGGCTGCAGAGAGGTTGCTACCCTTATATTTAGTTTTCTTTAGACATTACTGCTAATTGATTTGCTAGGTTTTCTTAGTCATAATCCAGTTCTGAAGATTTCAGTTCTTTATTGAACTTAAGTTTATTTTCATGTCTTAGTCATCACAGCCTATATAGTCCTGTTCTTAGGGTAGGTAACTTAGTTGTATTCTCAGAGGAGTATCCCCCTAAGTTTAGAGTTGTTTTCATATATCCAAGAAATAAAATTCCTGTGTTCACATTACAATGAAATAGCAGAAGTAAATGAATGAAAGATTTTATTATTTTGAACTGAAAACATTGGTTAATTAAAAATGAACATCATGTTTAGTGATTCATATTGATGGCACTATAGTTGGTGAACATTGTTCAGTTTGAATAAAATATATATATTTTTTAATTCACAGACAATAGTTGAACTTGCAGAGACAGGAAGTCTGGACCTCAGTATATTCTGCAGTACCTGTTTGGTAGTATTTTTTTTTCTTTATTCTTTCCTTTCTCTTCCCATGGCAGTGGCATAGCATAGAAGGGGTGGGGAACAAGGAGAACAGTTTCTTCTGCTGAGCACATTTCAGGCCCTCCACATTCCCCCACAAGTACCTTTTAGACCGTAGTACAAGAAGAAAGATGGTAAAAAGATGTCTCCTCCCAATCTGCTTATTCACCCTGGTGGTAGACCTGGACTATACTTCTGATTCGAGGTGCCATTCATTCATATTCATCCTTAATCTCTTTTTCTTTCTTAATATGTAACTCAACAAAGAAACTAAGCAATAAAGTACTAACAAGGTTTACTATGATTCTCTAATATTGTTTTCCCAGGTATTTTTAAGAAAAAATTTATTCTATTTAAAGGTCACAGTGGGAAAATCCGTTAGATAACTTTTAAGACAACAAGGCCTATAAAATGGTTCCGTTTGAGTAGTTATCTCTTTGTAGTAGAGTGTTTTTGCAGCTTTGAGCACTGTTTTGTCATTGATATTAAAAGTTGTCAAACCAGGTCATAAAGAAAGATATAAATGAAACTAAATAGCATTTATTTATGGAATCAGGTATAGTAATACTGACATTGTTTATTTTCATAGACATCCCAGATTTCTATAGCATAATACTGTTTTGTGTTTTAATTATTTTCTTAATATTTATGATTAGTTCTTGTGAAAAATCTATAGACTGCCACAGTGGTTAAACCATGTTTTCCTTTGTAAAAATAGAAATAATCCCTAAATCATACCTGAAACTAAATGCTCTTTTATACTTTTAAGATATACATTACAACTGAACTAATGTCTTAACATGTGAATAATAACAAGATAATTGACTTAATTCAGGATTATGGAGTGGGTCTTTGAAATGGAGCTGTAACTCTACAGATCCTTTAAGTTGTTTCACCTAACATTCTTTGACCAAACAGTTATGATTTTCAGTATTCAGAATGTATACTGCTTTACTTTTGGTAACAACTTTAGGGTGCTGACTAGATTCTCTTGCACTTTTCAATCATTCTTTATAAAAAGGTTTTTGTTTCTATGCTTTACAATGGTTAATTTACAGAATTGGCACCTTAATGTTCAGAACATTTTTATATTCCGCTGTTCTTTGGAAATATTATTTTGTTCTACAAAGCCAAAAATGAATTGGCTGATATGTTTGCCATACGGCAAACAGATTCTTTATAGAGTCACTCAGTATATTTCATTGTTAAATAAATATCTGATGGCAAGAACAAGACTATTTTTATTATCATAGTATAAATGTTTTGTTATATGTTGTGTTATTGTAAGCTGTGTACTTCTGGATAGATAATTCAAACTGACAGAGGTAGCTGTCATAATATCGGTGTCCTTCACTTTGATGAATAGACAAGTCCTTAAGAAGACATATATAAATCAGAATTTCCTAAAAATGAATTAGTTACTCTGTAAGTGAACTGAGGAGCCTATCATGTTTAGGAGCCTTTTGTCAGTGTTTGTTCAGAATTCATTGACAAGTATTGCCCAAAGGGGAAATGTAGCTGAGGGTTGGAGGTGGGGGTAGAGTTTGTTTAATACATCCTTCTTCTTTCTCCTAAATAGCTTTAATTTCATATCTGTGGTAAAGAATAAGTGGCACTTTTTTTTAAGGGTTCACAGATCACTTTAGTACATGTAAGGACCACATAGTCCACCTATGCTTTTTTCCTAGTACCTAAGAATGGTGTCTAACCTATTGCAAACTAGTAGAGAAACGGCAGTGGTTTTTTTGAAACACCAGTAAAGGATATTATAGATTTTGTTTCTGGCATGGGTTGATAACTAGCTCATGTCACGTATCCAGCATTAGGTCTGGGTAGCCCTTCGGAGGTCACTAATGAGTTCTTTTAGTCACTTGACTGATTCAGAGTAAAATAGAGAAACTTTTCGCCATACTTAAAATAGTATGGCATCATAAACATGAATTTTTTTATTACTTGTCAAGAGCTGAATAATGTATTTTATGTTTTTGCAAGTAATAGGGACTCCCTAAACTCGTTAAGCATGGTGTACTTTCTCAGATGGGTCATGCAGTTCAGCAGAAAAGATGCTGTACCTTAATCTCCGAGATCTCAGGAGCCACTGAAAGAGAAAGATATGTACACTTATTGCTTTTTGCTAGATTTGTTAACTTTGGGAAGACATTTTATTAATGACTTTGAATTTTATTTTATTTTAAAAATTTTTTTAAACATTTATTTATTTTTGAGAGAAAGAAACAGAGCATGAGTGGGAGAGGGGCAGAGAAAGAGGGACACAGAATTGGAAGCAGGCTCCAGGCTCTGAGCTGTCAGCACAGAGCCAGATGCGGGGCTCAAACTCATGGATCATGAGATCATGACCTGAGCTGAAGTCCGACACCCAACCGACTGAGCCACCCAGGCACCCCTAATGACTTTGAATTTTAAGAGGTTCTTTTATTCACTTCGAACTTGACCTTCCTTTTACTAAGGAACAATTTCCTTTTATTAAACAAGAACCAGTATCATGACCATTAATCACAATAAATTTTCATTTGGAAGCCTGGAGAGTGATTTTTTTTAATCAGAAATGTGAGGGATGTGAATTAAATATAGTACCATTCATTACAATAGCAAATAGGTCTGTGATTCTTAATTGCTTTTGTAAAGTTATGGTTCTGCCCCATTCTTAGGAGTTTATATTCCACACTAGCCCTATCCTGTCTTTTCTTTGTTGTTGCAATTGAAATTCCATTGAAGAAAACAATAGTGGTTTTTTTATTTTGTTCTTTTGGAAATAGAGTTTTGTTTTCTTCTTAATTGTATTTTGAGAAAATAAATGTTCAGCTTTCCTTTCTTCAGTATAATGCCTTTCATAATCTTTTAACATGCTTGTTAACAGATACGGAAACCAGTGAGGTCCAAACACTGTGGTGTATGCAACCGCTGTATAGCAAAATTCGATCATCATTGCCCATGGGTGGGTAACTGTGTAGGTAAGTTTTATTAATGATTTCTAGGTATGTTGTTCATTTAAGTTACTCTAGGTAACTAATGAATTACAGTATTAAATTAGATGTTAGAAACTTCATTCCTACACCCTACTACAGCCCCATTCCTCCCAGTTATCTTCTGGTTGATAAAACAGCAACTCAGCTGTGAGAAAGTTATAAAACCAGTGTCTAGGAATGATTGATATTTCTCTATCAGTTCTTTCTGGTGCCGCCTCTTTCCTGTTTTCTTTATTGGGTAATAGTGAAATCGATAAGGAGGCAGAATAGTATTGTGTTTTAGTTAAGCTGAAGAAAGTAAGGCAATAAAAATATCTGGAAGGATGTTGTGTACAGAAGCAGAGAGGGATGACCGATGGAATTCTGTATACCTCAGTACTCAAGAATGGTGTGGTCCAAGGAGGTGAACTAAGTGGTCTGAGAGATAACCCTAAGGATTTTATGAGGTGACAGCAGGGAAGCATTACAGAGATTGCATAACCGTTGAGAAGAAGCCTTTAAAAAGTTGGATTATAAGGTTTATACAAATAAAGATAAAATAGAGTTATTTTAAACCTCACAAAACAAAATACATTAAAACTCAGAATTGAGATTCATTTGGCTCATTGGGACTCTTGACTTCAGAATGAATGTCATTGCAGTCCTTATATCTTTGCGTGTAGTTACAAGCATTCTTATTTTAAGACTTTTATTAAAACATTTATTTTCCTGAGGAGCATTTAATCAAGTAAGTAATGTATGTGTTTATTGTCCAAATTGTATCACACCTTTCATGGCATTTGTCTATCCCCATCCCCAAAAGGTGTATTTCTAGTTGTTTTTTCTTAGCTGAAAAAAATTGCTTCTGTGTTGTTCTTTAGGTGCAGGCAACCATAGATACTTTATGGGCTACCTATTCTTCTTGCTTTTTATGATCTGCTGGATGATTTATGGTTGTATTTCTTGTGAGTACAATTAGCTTTTTACCTTCTTAAGACAATTGTATACTTTTGCGTATTACCATGTTAGCAAAATATAATGGTGATAAGTCTTTTAACTAAAAATGAACGGCTTTGGACACCTTACTGCACTGAAGCATAAGGAAAAAATAGATATAGAACTATAAACATACTCAACATATAGCATAATCAACAGAATTATAGTTAATTGTGAAAAACATGTTAGCCTAATAGGCTTTGCAAAGCTTCTGGGTAAAATACATCAACATTTTTCACATCACGTGCTTGCCTTACTCTAGTAGCTTACAGATTTTGTGACTGTGCTAGTTGCTCTTCCTTACCAGACAGTTGGGAAAGTATAGTGAACTTCACACAGAACTTGAAATATTTTGAAAAGTAAGGTGTAGTTATTGCCTACTGGAGAATATTAAAAGTTACTCTTTTAAGAATAAATTGCCATTCACTTGATCATATGGGTATAGAGGAAATGATGTTTTTGTTTTGTTTTGTTTTTTACATTGAGAACATGGTTTGAGAAGGGTTTAAATGAAGATGTTAGTTGCTATGCTTCAGGGCTTGGTGGTACTTATCATAATATATTTTATAGCCGGGCTTAAAAATAGGACTTGGAAGGATGATTTCCTAGTCCTCTTCTCCCACAGATGTTAAGAATAATGTCTGTTATTGCCCTGATGAAAAAGGAGGCTACTTCCTCAGATAGAGATTAATGGAGAGAAATATTTGATAAAAGATCTTGACCTAACTTCTGGCCCAACACACCAGAGAGAGAATACGGCCTAAAGCAGCAGTAGTTTTTATGGCAGCAGCTCTCAAAGAGGAGGCTTTTGTTTTGGAAAAAGCCTCTCTCACGGAGGTGATCTCATTGTATTTATTATATGTTCCCCCCCAAAAAAAAATTTTTTTTACTTATATGCATGTCACCTTATCTCTGTATAAAGATGTTAATCATTATATGTAGGCAATGCCAATCAAATAAAAACTATACTATTTAAGTACAGTGGTTTTTTTTTTTTTTTTTTTTTAATTTTTTTTTTCAACGTTTATTTATTTTTTTTGGGACAGAGCGAGACAGAGCATGAACGGGGGAGGGGCAGAGAGAGAGGGAGACACAGAATCAGAAACAGGCTCCAGGCTCTGAGCCATCAGCCCAGAGCCTGACGCGGGGCTCGAACTCCCGGACCGTGAGATCGTGAGACCTGGCTGAAGTCGGATGCTTAACCGACTGCGCCACCGAGGCGCCCCGTTTTTTTGTTTTTTAAGATTGCTGCTTTGTCCATTTCTATCTTTGCTCTGATTTTTTCACTGATGTAGAAAGGGATTATTTAGAAGTATAAAAGTATAAACAATTTGTATCGAAAGTTATTGGTTAAATCTAGACTTTTGGATCATGTTTTCTAAGTGGTGCCTCTTGCAGTTGTCTTGTCTTCGTGAGGTGGTTGGATGATTACTGAGTAAATGTGAAACTTCTGTTCTCATTTTAGACTGGGGACTCCACTGTGAGACCACTTACACCAAGGATGGATTTTGGACATATATTACTCAAATTGCTACATGTTCACCTTGGATGTTTTGGATGTTTCTGAACAGTATTTTTCATTTCATGTGGGTGGCTGTATTACTCATGTGTCAGATGTACCAGGTATGTGCAAGTACATGGCTGGTTCTTTAGTGTGCTGACAACTCTTAAAACTCCATTCCTTGTTGAAAGATAATAATGCATTCTGTTTCCAACCAATCCAGCTTTTCAAGGATTAAAATTTTCCACTTAGTTTCCTTCCTCTTCCTTTACTCTTTACTTTTCCTTTCTAGCTCCCACTCTCCCTCCTCCTCTCCTTCTTATAGTATGAATTTTTTTATATTATGAATTTTCAATACTACTTGTGACAAAACGTATTTCTGTTGTTCCTGATTCAGCTATATCCATTTGGATATAGGTGTGAGCTCAGATCGATGATGCCATTAGTTTTGTGTTTATTCATAATGTTTTATTACCTACAAATATCAGTATTTATTCAAGAGTCTTTTTTTAAATTAAGGATTTTTGGGGCGCCTGGGTGGCGCAGTCGGTTGGGCGTCCGACTTCAGCCAGGTCACGATCTCGCGGTCCGTGAGTTCGAGCCCCGCGTCAGGCTCTGGGCTGATGGCTCAGAGCCTGGAGCCTGTTTCCGATTCTGTGTCTCCCTCTCTCTCTGCCCCTCCCCCGTTCATGCTCTGTCTCTCTCTGTCCCAAAAATAAATAAACGTTGAAAAAAAAAAAATTAAATTAAGGATTTTTTTGAAAGCTCTTTTTTAAAGGGGCTCATGGAGAGGTGGTCTGTGTACATAGTGTCCATCTCTCCCCAAGCCCAATGCCAAATAACCTGTGCTTTAAACATTTTTCCTGTTTAACTGGCTACTTTTCACCAGAGTCAAAGTGATACCATGTAAACAAGCTTGATAATCTCCTAATGGAAAAACAGAAACAAATTTCACCACTTTTTCCCCCTTGAGAATTAACTTCTTTTACATTAAAACTTATTTTCCATCAGAGGGAGTTAATGGTTTGCTTTCTCTTACCTCCTAGATATCATGTTTAGGTATCACTACAAATGAAAGAATGAATGCCAGAAGATATAAGCACTTTAAAGTCACAACAACATCTATTGAAAGCCCATTCAAGTACGTACATGTTTATAAATTTAATATTTTATTTTGGCATATAAAATTCCTTACTAACCAAACTTAGCAAATATCTAGTGAATACATCAAAGAGAAATATTTTTTTTAGGTATGTCAATAGGATATGAAACAGGGAATTTTTCTTTTGGTTAGCAATATGTAAAATAGCTTAGAAATCCTACTGAATTCTAAGATTTCTGCCAGACATAGCATTGGTTAGTTTACCATAACTGTAGAATTCATCACATTAACTGCATGTGAATTTGTAACATTTTTTTTCTTATTTGCACAATTCTAACTCTATGATCTACTAACATTTGGTATAAACAGAAATCTTTATACATTAACATTCAGCTTTAACATTGCCATAAGTTTTTACAAGTTTTCACTGATAAATGAATGTATCCAGAGAATTGAAATATGATTTTTAAAATATAATCAAGTGAAATTTGTATATAGGGAAATTTTCTAGACTCTAGGGCAGCTGCTTTTCAGTGTGAATTATTTTATTTGTCCTTTGAATGACAGAAAAATTTCCATAGGCATAGTTTTATTTTATATTTCCTTTTTTTAATTGAGGTGTAATATATAACATTTCAAATGTACAACATAATGATATTTGTATATCTTGAAAAATGACCAACACAATAAGTCTAGCTAACATTTGTCACCATACATAGTTACAGAATTTTTTTTCTTGTGATAAGAACTTTTTAAGATGTGTCTTGGCAACTTTCAAATATGGAACATAGAACTATTAACTGTAGTCACAATGCTGTGCATTATATCCCCATGACTTATTAATTTTATAACTAAGTGTGTACCTTTTGACTCCTCTCACTTGTTTTGCCCACACCACACCTGCAGCCCTCTGAGAATCACCAGTCTATTCCTTGTGAGCTTGGTATTGTTTGTTTAGATTCCATATATAAGTGAGATTATATGGTTTTTGTCTTTATCTTTCTAATTAATTTCACTTAGTCTGAAGCCCTCAAAGTCCATTCATGTTGTCACAAATGGCAAGATTTGCTTATTTTTTATGGCTGAATAATATTGCACGCGCGCGTGTGTGTTGTATGTACATACACATACCACATTTTCTTCATTCATCCATCAGTGAACACTTACGTTGTTTCTATGTCATGACTCTTGTAAATAATGCTGCAGTGAACTTGACGGTACATATATCTTTTCAAATTAGTGGGGTTTTTTTTGTTAGTTTCTTGTTTTTTGTTTTTTGAGGTGTTTTGTTTTTTTTTCCCAGACAAATACTCAGAATTGGAATTGCTGGATCATATGGTAGTTCTAGCTTTAGTTTTTTTGAGGACTCTACTGTTTTCCTAGTAGCTGCAACAATTTAACCTTCCCACCAATAGTGCATAAGACATCCCTATTCTCCACATACTCACCAAACTTGTTAGTTCTTGTCTTTTTGATACTAGCCATCCTAGCAGATGTGAAGTGCTATCTCATTGTGATTTTGATTTGCATTTCTTTGAAGATTAGTGAGCATCTTTTCATGTATCTGTTTGTCATCTCTATGTTTTTGGAAAAATGTCTGTTCAGATCTTCTGCCCATTTTCTGATTGAATTGTTTTTTTCTTTTGAGTTGTATGAGTTCTCTTTGCTCTTGAGTTGTAGTTTTTTATATATTTTGGATATTAATCCCTTATTGTATATGATCTGCACATACTTTTTCCCATTCAGTAGGTTGCCTTCTCATTTTGTCGAGGGTTTCTTTTCTTGTACAGAAGCTTTCTACTTTGATGTAGTCTCACTTGTTTACTTTGCTTTGGTTTATATTAAAAAATTAATTGCCAAAATCCATGTCAAGGAGCTGACCACCTATGTTTTCTTCTAGCAATTCTGTGGTTTCATATCTTGAATTTAAGCCTTTAATCCAGTTTGAATTAATTTTTGTGTGCGGCATAATATAGTGGACCTGTTTCATTCTTTTGTGTGTAGCTGTCCAGTTTTCCCAACATCATTTATTGAAGAGACTATGCTGTTCAGTAGTTCAGATATATAGCTCAAATAGTTCAATATATAGTTCAGATATATATGTATATATTTAATTTTACATTTAGTTTGATGCTGAAAAGTAGTAGTTTCCTAATTATATGAAGTATTTAAAACTTTTGATTTTTACTCAAGCTACTTGGCCTTCAGTTTTTTTGTGATGCTATTAATTATTGCATGCTTCTGGAAAGCATACAAACCATTAAATGAAAGCAAAAATAAGGGAGTTGGGTAGTTTTGAGAATTCTCCCATAGGCACGATTATTATATAAAATGGAAAACTGTGACTGCTTTTCCAGAGGTATTCTTCAAGTCCTAAAATTCCCTGAACTTACCCTTGACATTTCTTTTCTTAAATTGTTACTTTTAGGTACATTGCCAGATTCATGCTGTTTGTAATCATTTTGCCTTTTACTTTCTCAATTTTGGATAGAGTTTGTCTCCTTGCCAAAGAGCTGCCCATCAAGGAAGAGTTTTATAAAAAAAAATTACATAGGACACAGGAATGAAAGAAATGCAGATTTGAATAACTTTAAAATATAATTGTGTAACCCATTAAATTAACAAAAGAGAGAAGAAAAATCAGTGTTGGCAGAACTATGAAGAAACATTAATGCATATATATTTGGTAGAGTTATAAACAAACAGGTTCTTTCTGGAAAGTAACCTGAGTTTTTAAGTTTAGAAAAATATATATTTAACACCAAAATTAAATTAAACTCATATATCAAATTATTGTACTAATAGGCTTTTTCTTTTTCTTTTTGTTGGGGGGATATTTTAGCCATGGATGTGTAAGGAACATTATAGACTTCTTTGAATTTCGATGCTGTGGCCTCTTTCGTCCTGTTATCGTGGACTGGACCAGGCAGTATACAATAGAATATGACCAAATATCAGGATCTGGGTACCAGCTCGTGTAGCAACATCTTTATCCTATGAAGCATATTGCTGAGTGGTGCCTGAAAATTGTGTCTGTCCGTGTCTCTCTCACACTCGAATCCACATTTTTGAACAATAGCATGCTATCCGTAGGGCTAACAGTGGATTTTACAGTCTTTTTTTCAACACTTTATTAACAAAAGTAAACATGGACAGAGCACACTGCCACTTCTGGGAAGAATAAAGATCATAAAAAGGAATTTTAATGGTTCATAATGTGGGAATTCACAACATACTCAACTTTTTGGTTTTGTTCTCATAACATTTTTCACGAAGAAAGAGTGAACTTATTCTGAACTTATTCTGTTGATAGACATGGTATACTGATCAGAAATGTTCAATTCTAGCTAAAACTAAATTTATGATTTATGGCTAAATTTTATGATGCACTCTACTATGACTATTGCATTTAATTCCAGGAGAATGGTCTCAAATTGATTCAGACTAGTATTATGTACATTTTAGAATGTACATGTAAATACTGTGATCAAAATCATGTGGTTTTATTAGGGATCTACTGTAATGTGTCTTCAAGGGCACGAGAAAATAATGTTCACAAGAATATGTGCTAACACTATTTTATTGCCATCAGCTGTTGCAATGCTGATACATTTCTAGTTCAGTGAAATAATTTGTAGTAACCTTGCTCTGAGGTTTTATGGTCTGATTAATAAAGCACTTGCATGAGTATAGTAAGTCATGTTATTTTGTTCAAACTTAAAAGCCCTACTAAGTGCATGATACACCTCATAGAATACTAGCACATACTATCCAGTAAAGCATAAATTAGAATTTAATTTGATGTGCAAACAGTCCAATTTTTAAGAGTTGAGGTAATTTCAAAGCAGAACAAATAAGTTCATGCAAAATTCTCAGTAATAGAGATAAATGGATATACTTCTAGAATTCTGAGCTGCGAAATAAATTGTAAGCAAAATAATGGAGTTTAGCTAAAAATGGAGCATGATCTCTGTACATATAGCACATGTGAATAAAAGAAAAGCTAATGGTATATTCTGGTTTTTAAAAAATGACCTATCAGAAAGAATTTAATCCTCAAGATTATTTCAATTTCCCCAATATTGAATGTTTTGAGGTTTGTTAATGCTGTCTGAAACCATTTCAGAAAGATCTTTGTTAAATGTGATGCACTGATCAATTTTTGTTGCAGCATTTCCATACTCTCACGGTGAACTATTAGTCACTGCTTCCATAAATATTGTTTACAGAGTGAGACTTGGTTTAGTCCTCTTAAGTGCTGTAGCAAACTGTGGTTCGAGCAACCTGTGGGAAACCTGTGAGAGGGAATGGGCTTGGGGGAGAGTGGGGAAAGGGTGGTCAGACTGATGACAGATCCTAGACCAGTGTAAAGATTGTGTATCTGTATATAAATAATTTATCAAATAGTTTTCTCTTTGTGTCTGTATGTGTTAGTGTATTCAAAGCTGCTCATTTCATTTTATCCAACCAAAAAGAAAAGGGAGATAACCTAATGAGCTTCTAGTGATGTTCAATATTGCTGTTAATAGGCATTATACCCTGCAAGTTCCACTGCATGTCTGAAGCTTGGTAAAATTAGTATTCTCTGTAAAATGCAGATTACAGGTATTAAAGCAATCTAGTGGTATACCCGCCCCTTGCCTTAGTAAGAGGAGCAGTGAAAATGTATATAGTTGATGTTCAGTATTTCCAAGTACCATTTTTATATAGTAGTTTCTTTGACCATAAGTCACACATCAGAAAGATTACCTTTAGTGTATTTGAGTGTTTTAATATTAGAAAATTGGCATACGTACTTTATTTTTGAAAAGGGAAAAGATGGGTGTGGGGTGGCAATAGCATTGTGCCATTTTGTCATAGAATGTAAAAAATTGGTTAACTTTACAAATGTCTCTGCTAGTTTTGACTACTAATTGGGGGAAATTTTAGATAATTTTTAAATTCAAAGTTATTTATAAAAGGCTAGAATTTGTTTTAATTTTTTGTATTTTGAGCCACTTCACATGAAGACTCGGTTGCAATTTTTATTGGATACATTTTTATTAACAGTCGAATATAATGGTGGTATTCTCAAGAGTTTGGATAAGAGTGTTGTTACCATGTTCTTTCTTTGTGGTACAATATTCTTTTCAGTGCAAAAGAGATGTCTTTCAGTTCAATAGAAAAGATACTCTAGATACAGAAGTACGTGGAAAATACTAGCAATGTTAATGCTTTCGTACTAACCATCTCGCAGTGCCGGTAAGATCTATAGTTTAGAGATGGTCAGGTGGTCAGATAGCCAGGAGCCAGCTATGCAGCAGTGTACTGTACCGTCCGTTTACTTACTTTATAAGTCCTGTGTGTGGAACCAGCTTAACCCAGTTCTAAAGTTGTGTATGAAGGTGACCCTTTGGGGAATAGTTCATATTAGCTTAATTGGATACTTACAGCAAATAGGAACTTACTTCTCAGCCCGGAACATGAATTACTTCTTTGGAGTTTTTTTCCTTCACATTTTTGTTCCCAGGAATTTATTTGAAATATTAATAGGCATAAAGCAGTATCATTATACTTAAGCTATGGATATTTTTATTTTATATTTTCTTTATTTATAACTGTGCCAAGTATTATTTTGCTACTTACTGTGTTACTCTGTGGAAAGAAAAACCTGTAAAGTGTTTAATAAATTAGCTCTCCTTACATAAATTAAATCTGTTAAAATTTTGTAAAATATTAATCAGAATAAATATTGACTCTTAAGCGTGTGTTTGTTTGTTATTTCGTTCAGTTCACTTCAAGAAATTGATGAGACACTGGGTAGTGGTAACCTATTATATTGAAAAGATTATTATGTATATTTGTATCTGGAACCACTACAATTCAAGTGGGAGGACTAGAAATTAGCAAAAGTAAAAGGTGGTGGTAGTATTTTAAAAAACTCTAATCCCATGTCTATGTATATGTATGTAATTAATACTTTTTAAGTAAAAGGAAATTTTTCTTTAAGAATTTTGGATTCCATAGAGTAATTAGGATCCTCAAGGACTGTATGAATCTCCAAGTTTTAAATCTAAGTATTATCTAGAGACACTGTGGTAAAATTTTGGAAAAGGAAACCTACCAAACATTGATCTCAGTCACTTGAAAAGCTATGCATCATAACTTCTTTTTTGGGGAATTTAAAAAGGAGAAATTGTGAAGGTGCCTTTTCCTGCATGTGCATGTCCACATGATTGTTTATGGGTTGAGAACCCAGTGGTATTAAGTATTTTCAGACTGGAATAATTAATACTCATTTCATAATTATTTTATGATGTTTAAAGTAATGCTTCCAGAGCTGTGTAGAGCTCAAGGAACAATATTTTGAACAAGTATAAAAATAAAGCAAATTCTGCAACAAGCCATCAGTTTTCATTCCGGGTATATTTCTCCCCTTCATTGTTGACTTACATGGATCTCCCAGCCCTTCCCAAGATTGGTAGGTTGTACCAAGATAAGGATACCAGATTCTAAGAGTTTATAGAGATAACTGGAAACAAGTGGTATGTATCAGGACAAGAAATCTTAGCTTCTTGTCAAAAAGTAAATCTTCAGTTTCATAAAGTTGTTGGTATTAAGAGTTACTTATTAAATATCTTTGTGTGACTTTACAAAATGGAAAGTCTGTAATTCCAAGTGGGATATTCAGAATGTTCCTTTATCGGGGTCAGCTAAGTCACAAACTCCAGGAAACCAGATGTGCCTTTTAGAAAACTTTTTGCCTTTGGAGTATGAATTTTTTGCTTGGATAAATTTTACCTGAACATCTGTCATCAGACATTTACTCTGATTGAACAATACGTTTTAATAGCAGTGTTTCTAGTACTCCAAAAGAGGGACTGTTTCCATTCAAAGCATCAGAAAGCCTCATTGCTGCTGGCTTGCATCTGTAGGTTTACAGTTTTCATCAAATTTGGAAATTTTCAGTTATTATGTCTTCAAATATTTTTCCTTTTCCCTCCCCCACCCTCAGGAAACTCTAGGTATACATTGATTAGGCAACTTGAGATTGTCCTACAGCTCACGATCAGTTCATTTTTTATTTTTGAGAGAGCACGGGGAAGGGCAGAAGGGGAGGGAGAGAGAATCTTAGACTCCGTGCCCAGTGCGGAGCCCAACGCTGAGATCATGATCTGAGATCATGACCTGAGCTGAAATCAAGAGTTGGACACTTAACTCTGAGCCACCCAGGTGACCCAGTCAGTTCACTTTTTAAATTCTCTTTTTCCCCAGTATTTAGTTTGGATTGTCTTCAGGTCTTTAAGTTCACTTAAATCTTTTTCTGTCTAGTTTAGTCTATTGTCAATACTATTTAGGCATTTAGGGGATTTTTCATCTCCGACACAGTTTTCACCTACAGTGTTTGATTTAGACCATTTTTTATATCTTCTGTCTCTACTGTTTTGAAGATACGGATGGAGTACACTTACAATTAACTTTTTATTTTTTTTATATTTTTAAAAGTGAGAGTGAGTAAGCAGGGGAGGAACAGAGAGAGAGGGAGAGAGAATCCCAAGTAGGCTCTGCTCTCAGCATAGAGCCCAGCACGGGGCTCAGTGTCACAAACTGTGAGATCACGATCTGAGCCAAAGTCAAGAGTCACGCTCAACCAACTGAGCCAACCAGGTGCCCCATAATTAACTTTTAATATCCTTACCTGCTAATTTTCACATCTATGTCAGGTTGGGTTGGTTTTGATTTTTCCTCATTGTTACAGGTTGTATTTTCCTGCTTCTTGGCATGACTAGTAATTTTTTTTTCTTTTCAAATTTTTATTTAAGATGACTAGTAATTTTTGATTTGGTGCCAGACACTATGAATTGAGTACTGGATATTTTTGTATTCCTACAAAAATTGCAGAGCTTTGTTCTGGGATGCAGTTACTTGGAAGCTTCAGTTCTTTCAGATTTTGTTGTTAGCAAGATTGGTTAGGCAGGACCGAGCAATGTTCAATTTAGGATTAATTATTCCCCATTGTTGAGATGAGCAAGAGCAATGTACTCCATCGAAAGCCCCAAGAATTGTGTTTCCCCGTGTCACTGGTGGCAATGAACAGGAACTATTCCCATGTGAGCTCCCATGTGAGCACCAGACTTTGTTCCAAGTCTTTCAGTTGCTTTTTTTCTCTGGTCTTGGACAGTTACCTCACAGGCGCTATCAGCACACGGCTGAAGACTTGCAAGGTGGGGGGTGGGTTGTCCTCTTCATGTCTGTGGAGTTATTTTTCTGTACGGCTCTCTCAGGTCCTTTGAACTCTAGCTGCCTTGGCCCTTCTGGACTCCACTCAGTCTCAACTTGGGGTGCCTCCCAACCCCACCTGTGTTTTCCCTCCTTGCACTACAGCTGTAGCTTGGAAACTCTCAAAACTAGTGAGACTGCTAAGCCTAAGACTGATCTCATTTCCCCATTACTGTTCTTTGTTGCCTGTTGTCCAAGGCCTGAAAACTTTTTTTTTTTTCCGATGTAATTTGTGGTTTTGGTGTTTCAAGTGAGAGGGTAAATCTGGCCTGTTATTTTCATTTTGCTTTAAGTGGAAGTCTGAGTTAACACATTTTTAAAAATTTTGTTTTAATTTCTGATACAGAAAATATTGGTAGATGTAATTGATCATAAACAATAGCTCCTTGGGCTCCTCAACAATTTAAGAATGTAAAGGGGTCCTGAGATTTAAAAAAAAAAAAAAAAAAAAAAAAAAAAAAAAAAAAGTTTGAGAACCGGTGGACCAGATTCCCAGTGCTTCTTTTAATGTTAATGGTTCCATGTGCAACTAAAGGCTCTCGAGTTAAAACAGACTTCTCAACCACATGCTCTCAAGGCCTTCATTACGCTAGTGTGTCCTGTGAATCTACAGCTGTGTGTGTATTGATATAGATTGGTAGCAGCAACACTTGCTAAGCTTAACTGATCCTGAAGATTTTTGGAAACTAGAGTTCCCAGCCCTCCTCAAATATACCAAACCACCACAAGGGACTGAAAACATCCCAGTTGGGTCACTTTAAAAATAAAAGTATTTATTTACCATTCAGCACTTTAATAACACATTTGGATTACTTTTGGGCTACCCTGTTGACTTATTCCAAATGATGAAAGTGATTCCTCCCAGAACAGAGCCTAAACAAAGCCAAATTTCTTCTTCCACTCCTAGAACCACTGGTAGCTAATTTTACATTTTGGGGGGAGCTGTTTGTTATGGCTCCCAATTTAAGAATAATTTTGAGTAGGTTGTTTATTGGGTAGAAACCTCAAATTAGTAGGCACCTGGCAGCTTTGTTTAGAGTAATTTCAGATATCTACTAATATCTCCAATATAATTTGGGAACCTTAGTAGGTATGGGAAATGTTGGTTCTGTGTGGGGAATGGTTTAATATTTACATTTGGGTTACCTGTAGCTACCTAACCAACCTCTCAAAAATTTAGTGGCTTAAAATGGTGTTTTTGTTCACAGATCTCTAGTTTGTTCAGGACTCAACAGGAATAGCTCACCTTGTTCCACCTGGTGTGGGCTGGGATGTTCAAGAACCGGGGACTGGAATAATCTGAAGGCTCACTCATGTCAGTTAATACTGGCTGATGGTCGAGATCTCTCAGTGGAGGCTATGGCTGTAATACCTCCATGTGGTTTGGACTTCCTCAGAACATGGCAGCTGAGTTCCAAGATTAAACTTCCAAAGGGAAAGAGGCAGGCAAAAACCATTGCCTTTTCTAACCTTGCCTTGTCCATCATATTGTGCAAAAAATGAGTCACTAGGTTGGCCTTTATTCAGAGGGAGGGGAATTAGTCTCCGTGTTTTGTTGGGAATGTCACAGAATCTGTGGGCAAGTTCTAAAACTACTACATAGAGATTTAGAAGTTATTCCATAACTGTTCTTCAATTCAGCCTATCTTCATTTATGGTTGATTAGCTTCCCCAGCCTGCTTAACAAAGAGGCCTTCCCCTCTCCCACAGTGGAACTTGTCTTCTAAGACCCATGTGAGGTGCTCAAGGCTATGATATAAATAAGCATGAATTCTTTCACCTAGTACATCCTCAGTTGATTTCTTCCCACTAAGTTTCTGCTAGCACAACCGCTGTAGCTTTTCAAAATAAGCAATACAGTATGTTAAAATAGGCTTTGGACAAGATGAAGATATGTTCATTGGTCATGCTGGTTTATTTTACCAATCTCACACCTTACCCCTGAAATTAAAGGTTAGATTGAATCTTTGATAAAAGTTTCTGGGGAAATAGTGAAAATATTGTTTATAGTCTGGTGCCTCCTTTTCTACGTGAGCCAGCTGAATGTGTCAGGACACTGCAACATTCTTTGTAACTTATGCAGGATTGAAATGTTTGAGGAAATCACTTCAGTTTCCAGGATTTAGTAAGTTACCATGTATCATGTCAGAGTGGAGTCTAAAAAATGTCACACAAAGCCTCAGGTTCTGTAGTTGTCTGTAGGTAGCTGTTTGTAATGATCTTTAGACTTAGATGAATTAAATATTTCAGTGTTTTGTTTAACTGTGCCCACCATCCTAGGTCCTTGTGCCTTTCTGAGGAGCTTATTAGAATGGCTTCTATGGCCCTACCTCTAGAGTCTGCTTCTGTAGGGCCTGGGAATCTGCTTTTTAATACTCCTTGGTGATTCTAATGCAGGTTGTCTAAGGAGAATAACCACCAGCTAGAGTGGGGCGGACAGGTGGGTGGGGGATGCTGCCCGACCATCTCTCAAGAGCTGGAATCGGTTGCCAAGCAACCCTGACCAGGTTAAAAGAGATCTTCTCCAACAGCTGTGATGCAAACATTAGCCTAGTCGGTCAGCTGCATAACGGGGTGGACTCTAACCACTAAAGTACAGGTAGGGACCCAAGTGATTTTCCGCCAACTGAAATCACAGCAGCTCCTCCAAAATGTGAATGACACTGAGCACCTGAATCCAGCTGAAGTTTTATTTAACATGTAAAAGAAACACTTCTTGAAAATGCCGAGGAATAAAAAGCAAAGGGATACAGTGCTCTCTTCCCACTAGTCAGCCAGCCTATCCGTGTACGGGGCAACAGACAGTACGTAAGTGCCGGCAGGATTTCACAGTAGTTTAGTGTTAGATTATCTGTGCCTAGGCCATGTAGAGACTTTCCGTGTTTGATGTCAGCTCAGGGTCACGCCTTTACTGAGCATGAACAAGGGCTCCTGCTCCTTGACCATAGCCAAATCCCTTGGGCCCAAAGTTCTTTGCGTAGCATCCTAAAAAAGGAAAGAGAATTAGCAGAAGGTCCTTTAAGCTTTGCTAGCATTAAGACCCACAAAATGACAAACCCCTGTAAGTTTAAAAAAAAAAATGGTTTGCCATTCCCAAAAAGAGTTCAACTTATTTAAGATATAAAATGAGCCACATAGCAAGTATCTGAGAGTTGCAAAGGTGAGTCCAAACATTCCGACCCACTGGAGTTACAAGCATACAAATCGGGCCGGGCAAGTTACGTGTTTGTCTGTTGTTACCTTCATACATTCATATGCTTTGCTGGAAACATACAGTGTTTCAATGAGGTTTTTACCTTATTTGTCGGGGTAATTTTAAATGACAGTCAACTTTATTGTCTCAAGTTATCTCTGTTATCTGTGAGCATCTCTAGATCCTTTATTTTCAAATAGCGAGTGGCAATCCCTTGCTTTCCTTCCCGGTTCCTCTCCCCACTGTCACAGTACTTTCTTTTTCTTGTATGCTGGTGAAATTTCCTTAACCAGGGTGGGATATTCAGATGCACAGCAATAATGGAAATTAATTTTACCTTTACAATAGATTTCGCCTTCTTTCTCAGTCAGAGTTGTTGATTCAAGACTCTTCCCACACTTGGCACACCGGAAACAGTTTTTGTGCCAGGGCTGGAAGAGACAACTGAGTAAGTCTGAGAGGGTGGTTTCTTGCAGTACAGTGTAGACACTTTGGCAAGTGGCTCGCAAACGTCAACCCAACGCATACTCCTGACTGCTGTGCTTCAACTCCAACAAAAAGCCTGGAACTGGACCTCCCTGTGTCTACACAGGGTGTTGGCCACCTACACCAGGGCTGGGTTCAAACTTCATTTACAGAAGACACGGGCTGTACCAGCCAAGGGCCATCTCCCCAAGAGCCGTCTCAGACCTCACCGCAAGCACAATGCGCTCCTTTAAAGACTGCCTCTTTTATGGCTGAGAGCATTGCAGCTGGAAGAGGTGAAGTGGTTTAAGTAATTTGCTCAGAAGTACACCTCAGATTAGCATCAGGAGTCCCAACTCTGGTTTCCCACTACATGGAATAACCTGCAGAGTGCAGATTTAACAGTCGTCCTTTAACATCCTTGAGGAGCGCCCCTTATGAAAACAAGTTTCTTTCAAACATAGATGTGATTTGTCAAGTAAGGGCATCGCTTCAACAAGTTAATGATTCAGATGGAAATCTAAGAAAAATCCGAATCCAGGGCATTAATGTATTTATATAAGACAGCACGCCTGAAGGGGATGTGAGGGGGACGGGGGAGAAAGGGAGGAGAGAGGAGTCATTCACTGCTGCTAACTCCAGACAGCACTTTACCTTTCCAGCTCCGATTATCTTCTCAGCAGCATACACGGAATCCCCACATCGGGAGCACTTCTCAGCACCTCCATACTTCTGAGCAAATTTAGAAGTGTTTGGATTTGTTGTAGGCCTATGAGGTTGAACACTTGAAGAAAGGGGGAGAAACTAGGATTTACCGAAGGGCCCATTCTAATTAATAAGCCCACAAGACAGGCACAACCGAACTCTGGGACTTAACTGCTGTCGTGTCTCACGGCCAGAGGCCCTCACTGAACTACATCCAGGGGAAAGAACTGTGTCTCAGGTGCTGGCCAGCTGGTACTTTAACCTATTTATGGGCTCATTACTGCCATAAACAGACGAAGCCCCAAACTTAAAAACCTGCCTATGTGAGTCTAAACAGAATTCCTTGAATCCCCAGTGCTGGCCTCTATGAAACAATTATGCTATGCTTTATAAAAATATACACTGGACATATTTTTACCCCATATTCATATCATTGTTCATATTACCACTGGAATCACAGGGAGTTTTTTACTTTACCAGAGTCTGAAAAATCACTGTTAGCCTAAGCAGTTAAAAGTTTCTGCAGATAGGTCAGTGGACTCAGGTAGAATTAAGAACGTTAAGCATTACTTACAGATTAATTTCCTAATATACGCTAAGTGGGGAAAAGTGTGAATAAACTACTTAGCTTCATGGAAAAATACTGTAGAAGGTTTGCCTATTACTGTATGATGTTTGCTTTTTCTGTGGATATTGTAATTTTTGTCACTTATTTTCAAGTCACTGGGTAACTTCTCACTTTCTTTAATTCCCCTTCAATATGTAGATGTACGTACAGTGCAGAACACCATTCTGGGCTCTGAGAAGATTTAAAGGCCCCTCTCAAACCTTGTAAGTCAGTCAAGCAGATAAGAGGGCAACAGCAGTTAGCTCAGCAAGTGGTACAAGTGTCCCATTTTTCCTGTTGGAAAAAGTTTTCTTTCCTGACTCTAGTTTAAGTTACATACTTATAGAAAATAAAATGTTAGTTTAGAAATACTGCCTTTTCATAAAACAAAGGATTCAAACTCCTCCCCGGTATCTTCCATTTCTTCACCTCCAGTGTATCCATGTTTTAGTCATCTGTTTTCTGTACTTTCACATGAGGTGGCAAACATATAGCATTTCTGGAGTCATGTTTGCTATGGCCGCTGGAAATTTTATTCTAAACAACAAATACCAATTCACAGTACTGATGCAAGCATTGGTGTTTCCAGTTGCCCCTAATGTACGAATATTTAAAAAAAAACTGTACAACCTACTGTATGTACTTCCTTTGGAGAGTGATTTTTGATAGCTATTCACAATGATATCCAACATTTGGAGTTAGGAGTTTCCCCCAAAAAATGTCCAATATATTATGTTAACAAGAACCTAATGTAGATTATCTCCCACCTCCCTGCTAATGACATCGTGGGGTGTGTATAGTTGTTAACCTCACGAGAAATGAAGAAATAGGGGCTCCGACAGTAAATAACGTGAAGAGCTACAGAATTAGAAAATTGGTGAGTCTGAACTGACAGTTCTGCCTCAGTGAAATGTTCTGCCCACACAGTGCTGCCTCTCCGGGAGACTCCTGTGAAGATAATGTGGTCCCCATATGTTATATCGTTACCACATCCCACAAGGGTGCTCCAGACCACAGGTGCTCCCAGAGGTCAGTCATTAAGAGCAGAGAGGCTTCTGGAAAAGGAAGTCTCTACATCTGGCCCTAGTAGGTGGCCAGGCTAAAAAGGAGAAGAGGCAAGGGCACAGATCAACAGGCCAGCACAGAGGGCTGACCAGCTATTGGAGAAGATGGAGCAGCAGGAGGTAAAGAAGTGGGTCCACTGCCCTTTGTGACTTTAAAACTGTAGCCGCAATCACAGACTTAACTTTTGGGTTATGGATGAACTTGGTTTGAGGGGGGGTGGTGTGGAGGGAGGTATATAGATATGTGTGTTTTGAAAGATTTGAAAGAAAATCTTAGAAAACGAGAAAGGATTTTAACAAGCTGGAAAAGGAGAGCAGAACAAGCACAATGAACTTCAACAAAGACCAAGGTAAGCTGGGCTCCTACAAGTGATGGCGCATAACAACGGACGAGCCAGCCCTTGTACAGCTGGTTGGCAAGGCACCATGGCTCGGAAACTCTGTGGAAAAAACCCAAAGAACAGACAGGTGGGCCTCAGTGCAGTGGAAAGAGCACAGGTTTGGGAGCCAAATGGGCATGCGTCAGATCCGGGCTGTGTCACTTACTTGTGTGACCTGAGCCTTAGTGTCCCGTCTATAAAATAGGGACAAGGTGGGGCGCCTGGGTGGCGCAGTCGGTTAAGCGTCCGACTTCAACCAGGTCAAGATCTCACGGTCCGTGAGTTCGAGCCCCGCGTCGGGCTCTGGGCTGATGGCTCAGAGCCTGGAGCCTGTTTCCGATTCTGTGTCTCCCTCTCTCTCTGCCCCTCCCCCGTTCATGCTCTGTCTCTCTCTGTCCCAAAAATAAATAAACGTTGAAAAAAAAAAAATAGGGACAAGGTATCTAAACCCCCAGAGTTACTGTAAGGATTATGTAAAATGAACATAAATGTTCAGCAAACAGCAGGCACTCAAGTATTATTTCAGGCATACCATAATGCACCGTGCTAAGCTTTGGAGTTACACTAGGAGTTACATTAATTGCTGCAATTAGCTAGCAATGCGACTTTAGGAAATAGCTTAATATTTCATTGTCTACATTTGTTGAGTAAGATGGGAAACCCTACCCTGTAGGGCTGTCGTGAGGATTATGTGAGGTGACGTGTTAATATTGCAGGGTGTCCAGCTCATGGGGCATGATAAACGGTCTTGTCCAAGAAAAGACCACTTTATTGGAGTATCACACCAATTTTGGCCTCTTCGATATAAAACGGATGTGAAAAATGTGAAGTTCAAATGAGAGAATCAGTCCAAAACAGGAATTAAGAGGAAATTCCAAGTGAAGAAATTATGTAGCCTGAACATAAAATACTAAATGAAGTTTAGCAGACTTAGTACCTTGCTATTTTGGCACTGGAACCTTTAAATTTTAATACTAATGTCTCAGCGAATCAAAAACAATTTCAATTTGAAGTAAGACTTTGTAAGTTCGAGAAAAGTAATTTCTTGGTGAAATATTCTTACATGGAAGGAGTGACTGAGAATTTTTCCTTGCTTAACTGCACATGAGAAATGTGTCTCATGATTCAGACATCACTTGATTTCATGACATCTGGTCTCCAAAACACTGTGAAATGGAAGTAAATGTAAACCATGTGCTTTTGAGAACATGAGTCTTTGATACACTGGAGCATGGCCCAAAATCAAGACTAGAAATCACTGGAATAATCAATAAGAATTCTATTAGGCCCCAAACTGTCCATTTCAAGCTTAAAGAATAGTCACTAGTTGATACATGAAAACCAAGAGTCCTTCTGTTTGCTTATTTTAAGCTAAAATCTGTCCCAGACTGCTATTTCACCAAGCAACATTAATTGTTATAACTCCGTTCTGAAGGTAAGAAACGTGGTCCTAACTCACCTCTCTGGCTTGATGCCCAGCCTCTCACCCCGGTCCATGTTGAGCGTGCCAGCGCCCTGGCCATAACCATAGCCTTTGGGCCCATACTTCTTTCCATAGCAGGATTTGCAGTAGATCTCTTCATCGTGAATTGCCACTGTGGTGCTATCTAAATTCTTCCTGCAAACCACTGAGGAGGAACGAGTGAGACCTTTAGAAACATGCCAGAGATGCCATTTCCCTAAGAGCAGTGGTGGCCCTGACACATGGTCTACAAATGGGAAAGGCACAGGCTCTCTCACGTTCCTATTTCCCCTGTGGTTTCCCAAAAGCCATGGGACAGCATCTGGACTGGGTCGGCTACAGCTGAGGACGATTTGCCTTTCTCCATGGATAGGAAGGGGGGTGTTTCAGAAATGTATCAGAATTTTAACATTCTGAAGCCTCAGACTTTTCAATAGGCTTGGCCTCTCTGGCAGGACGGAGGGGTTTCAGAGAATTACACGGCTAGAATTACATGAACAAAAGGAACAAAACTAACGCTTGCTCCAACCCTCAGCACAGTCTTCCACCTCTTCACCCTAGTGGTGCCAAAGCACAACCTAACAAAGAGCAAAAGAGTGGCTGAGTGCCCTGTGGGGGCTGGCTCTGTAGCCCTCCCCTGAAGAGCACCCCCTGGCATAAAAACGGCTTTAACTCCAGAATTCCAGTTTTCCTCATGAGTCCGGAAGGGATAACCTATTATTCTTTCATCTCGCCACCGGCTTCTCCAGCAGTGATGAGTAGGTCTGAAAATCGCAAAGTGGTTTCAAGTCTGCATTTGTGTTTCCCTTCTGTCCCAAAGGAGAATGCATTCTTTCTTGATGGTTTTCTCGCCACAAGACATTTCCACGGATCCCACTTCATAAAACTGCCAAATGTCATCATGTTTTACCCAGACATTATTTCACTTTCTAAAACTTCAGTTAAGCTTGGAAAACACACACACACAAAACTGTGAGGGAACTTACTGGGCAGCTGGAAATCCAAAGTTAGTAGAAAGGGGGATTTTTCCTCCCTCCTACTTAAAAGGGTGGGGGAAGGGAAATGAAAGGAGGAAGAAAAGAAGGACATCAGGGAACGGCGACTGGCTGGTGTAAAACAGTTACAATTAGGAAGCTTCTATTAGACTAACACTTTCTCTGGTGGAACAGAATGACGTCATCTGCTCTGGAACCTTGCTGTTGAGGCTCAAGAACTGAAATGTGTTTGCTGAAAGACACAGGTAACCTAAAACCACACATTATAGGAGAATAAACACCCTTAATAGAAAAAATCAAAATACAAAAACTGTTTCAAAGACCACAGAGTTATTAAAGCAATTTTAAGAAAATTTTACTGTATGACCATCCTTCCCTTCGTCCTCATTCTCTATTCTCTACAGTAAAATTCTAAGTTTGCAAACTGTTCTGAATTCTATCCTTAAAAGACCTTAGTCAGCAGAGACAGATACTAGGAAGTAACAGTAAAATTGCCAGTAAAGAAGTTGACACTGGGGAAACAGTGAGTTTATTATGGTGGAGAGACTATCCTGGCTTAACCTAGATGAAACTAATGTTTCATGAAACTAAGAACAATGTCTAAAGTATCTGTACTTTTGTTCATGTACTCTTGGTTTCAAACCTGCTGGAAAACAGATTCCTTAAAAAAAAAAAAAAGTAACTTCTAAGAGAAGAAATGGTGAAACCAGTTCCAAGAAATGGTAGCTATTATGGGGGCATACACAGTAAACATATGTTAGATTTTTATTCTTTAACTGCGACTTTCTGCTGTTTCTCGTTGCCTGCAAAGCAGTTACACCATAAAAAAGGTCCCAACATGTTGAATGCTGGTGCCTAGAGAGAAAAGGGCAACTAAAATTTGAGAGAGGTTTTTCTGGAGATTATTTCTTAACGTAACCCAACATATTTAATATACGCAGTTTCTGGCAATAATTGTCACTATATGGTACTATAGATACAGCAAGTATCTGCATGTACGGGGCGGGGGGGGTCCTCATGTAACAAATCCTTCATCAAAGAAAATTTGTCCTTTGAATCAGAAGATGATGATTAACAAAGAGCTTTCCGAAGTGGCTTCTCTCCTGCTTGAAACTGAACACTTAGTTATCACTACAGTCTGCAAGGGGAGGGGCCCTGTGTCCGGTTCTGTTTCTCTTACTGTCCACTATGTACAGTCTTTGGAGCACAGACGTGTGTTTTATGTCCTTTTTCTTGTCTATATCAGACACTGATAATCTTCCATCTTTAAACAGTAATAATTCCCAACTTGCCTTGATGGCATTTTCACATCCTAAGCTTCTTTCCCTCCATTAGGATATCAATAACCCAGAAATAACTGAATTTTCATGACCAGAGAAGATGGAAATGTAGCTTCTAGACATTTGATTTCAACCAGTAGTATGCCAAGAAACAAGCAAATAGGTTTCAAAGAGAAAGCTGGGGTGGATGAGGAGGAGCAAACCGTTCATTCAGAAATGAGAGCCCAGCCCTTACAACACACCAGAAACTGTGCCAAGTGCCAGACTATAAACAGCACTGAGCTCTCAGTGAAGCAGGGGAATGGACGTGAGGACAAGTACAGTACAGTAAAGGCCCAGTGGAGGCTAAAAGCCGTGGGGACACAGTACGGCCACATGCCACAGGTCAACCCTTGCCGTCCTTGCTGCTAGGCTGAGCGTTCACGATGTCCAGGACAGATAGGCAGAAACCACCTAAGCTTCTAAAATCATCTCTGTGGGGCGCCTGGGTGACTCAGTCGGTTGAGCATCCAACTCTTGATTTCAGCTCAGGTCATGATCTCACACTGCATTGGATTGAGCCCCGCCGACAGCATGGAGACTGCTTAGGATTCTCTCCTTCTCTCTCTCAGCACCACCCCCTGGCCCCACTCATGCTCTCTCTCAAAATAAATAAGTAAACATTAAAAAAAATATATTTGTTAACAAAACCACAATGTTTTTCCTTAAATAGGTAAACCGAAGCTTTTACATTCATTACAACCCATTCATTGTCGAAGATCGAGCCCTGGAAGATACTTACTGCACAGAAAGCAGCAGCGGTGGAAGCTTCTCCCATCACACTGCACCTCTTCTGCGTGGTACACGGTCCTCCCACACGCCCCGCACTTGTTTCCACCTCCCCACACGGGCATTCTGCAGGAATAAAGGACTCATTAGAATGTCCCCACACGAGACGAGATGCCTGCCAAGCTCCCGGGAGGGCTGTTTAAACCCCAGGGCCAGCTGCAGATTTTGTCTAAGAACTGCTCTAACCACGTCTTTAAAGCCCTGCGTTCCTCCAAAATCGCCTCGTCTCATCTTCCAAATTGCAGCTCTTTCCTTAGCAAACTCTGACTTGTCACGCGCAAGTTTTTTTTCCCTACAGGACAGAGGACCTGCATTCAGTAAAACAGTACAGGTCGCCAGGCACAAAACAAAACTATGCCACCAGAAGCATGATGAGGGTTGAGAAAGAAGTGTGGGAGTGGAAAGGCAAACACTGTCCGCCCCTGACACCCCCACCTTAAGGATGGGTTCTGAAAACTCAGCTGAAGAACATGCACCCGGGTGGAGGTCTTTATCATGTGTTCACTTCGTTGTAACACCACCGATTTTTTTTTTTAATGTTTATTTTTGACAGAGAGACAGAGCATGAGCAGGGGAGGGGCAGAGAGAGAGGGAGACACAGAATCCGAAGCAGGCTCCAGGCTCTGAGCTGTCAGCACAGAGCCCAACGCGGGGCTCGAACTCACAGACTGCGAGATCATGACCTGAGGTGAAGTCAGACGTTCAACCAACTGAGCCACCCAGGCGCCCCTAACAACGCCGAATTCTTAACACAATCTACAAGAGCTCTGCCACTTTCGAGGGATGAACAGAGTGTTGTATTGCCTCGCGAGAATTAGTCTTATCTGTGTCTGCTGAAGTTATGCAAGATGACGGTGTAAATAGTTGTGTCTGTGACTGGAAGAACTGTGTGCATGGAGCCCCAGCTGTAACCACAACAAACATCCATCGGGATGGCTACGATTTAGGTTTCTGTGCTTCACTAACCCCCAGCTCCTCTAGCCCAGCCAGTAGTAGTTTTTCCCCTCTTCGATAGGCCTGTCAGTCCATAGAGAATATACTACCAAGTTCCCTTCCCGGCGAAGTGAATTGTCTTTTGAGCACGTCTGCAGTTGGCCTGACTCTGGGGTAGTGCTCCAAGCTTAAATCCTGCTGTGATGTGGGGCCAACATGTTCTAACCTCTCTTCTCAATGAACTGGCCTACCTGGCCACGGTATCAAATGCCTACTTCTGAATGGCCAACGTACTCAGGTGCCTTAGCAGTACAGAAAGTTGTCCTTCAAGGATGGTGCCCTGCCCTGCCCCAAGTGGTGTCTAAAAACACAGTGAGAATTTCTTTCTCCTCCAGCCTCATTCTCACACTTCTCTTCTGTGAGTGGTATTTGTAGCCCTTGGTTGTTCAGTCTCCTTAGATGAGATGCACACCTCTCTAGGAAATAGCTGGATGAGAAAGTGGAGACCCCCTTGCTAACTCAGACTTGGCTAGCTACATAAGGGAAAAGGAGGGCTGCTAAGCAAATAGATGGAAGAATCTTCAATCCTTAAAATAAAAAGGAAGGCGGTCAATTCCCATCCTCCTGCCCAGCCTACAGCATTAAACGATCCAGAACCCAGTGACTTCCTTGACACTGAGATGAGGTCTTTCTAAAAGCAAGTTTTACAGAATCAATCACTGTGTTGGGCACATTTCTGGGATACAGCATTCTCTTGACCCTCTTGTAACACTTTCCCCCAGATGTTCTCCAGGCAAGTAACCATCTCTTCCTTAGTCCATGTGGGTTAGGAAGTACTTATTAAAAGACATCACAGTCTCCTTGTGATGGTCCACCACATCTGGTACCAATTCAAGATGAAATGCAGGTGAGAGTTCAGAAACTTTATACAATTTTATGTCACAATAATCAAGAGCATGATCAGTGGACTCACCTTACTGAATAGCATAGAAGCAGAGAATCCGTGCTTGGAAATTAAACAAAAATGGTCCTTTACCAGATAGTTTGAGAAGTACTTGTTTAGAGGGTGTTGACCGTACCCTCAACTCCAGGGCTGGGCGTGTGACTCGGTCATGACAATGAGGTCACTGCATCCCCCCCCCCACCCCCCGCCTGCCACCATCACAGTGTCTGGTATGGGAATGAGCACACGACCCTAAGGCAGTTCAGTGAAAGTTAAACCCAGGGCTATGTGGATGTAGGGGTGGAGCTGCTAGCAGCTGCCTAGCCACTGGAAGAAAGGAACCTAAGAATGAAGCTGGCCCAGAAGAAGAGAGATGGAGAGACTAGGTTTAGACACTTTTCAGCTGTGTCTTGTCTTATCCTATAGACATTACATGAGCCAGTACATTGCCTTTTCAAAGTCATTCTGAGATGGAGCTCCTGTTCCTTGAAAAACACACAGACCTGACTAATATGACTAGTTATCACCAAACTGTTGGTCTCAACTTGCAAAAAGCCTACTTCCTTATTCAGACAGGACCAAGGTGATTCTGAGGGTCCATGAAGGTAACAGGCTACTGTGAAGGCATCCACAGAGGATCAACAGCTAGCAGCAACGGGATAAATCTGCAAGCTTTCCTATAGTAGTTGCATAAATCTTTTATTCCCTTCCCTGGAGACAGGTGCTCCAATGTTTAAATCCACAGTGAAATTTGAGCCTGACTGTAAAACCTCAGACACAAAGCCTTGGCTCCAACAGCCTGCACTGGCTTGAGTCTAAAGTGCAATTAGTGATACTGACTTTGCCCCCCGGCTCCAAAGTTACCAGAGTTCTGGAATGTTCACGGATGCCACAGACATCTGCTGGAAGTACCCTTATGATTCTGGAGGAAACCTAAAACCCAACCCTGGCTTGTAGGTAATGACCTTACAATTAATTACTACCTAAAATTGGATCCCAGCATCAACAGCCCAGCTGGCTTCTAACATATTCTGTTATTGTCAAGGCATTTCTCATCCTATTAGAAACTATACTATTTAATATCAACCTAGTAGCTTATATTTTCCCACCTGTTTACTTTGGAGCTATCACCAATAAGGAACCAGATTTCTATGAAGACTAATGCCATCTTGGGTTATCTCTGAATACCATTTAAAAATACTTTTTTCAAAAACTAACTCATCACTTTTTTATTCCCTATTAAAGAGCAGCTTGGACTTTAAACAGGGAAGAAGGTCTTTCCTTTCTTTATGTAATTCACAGTTACTTAAATTCACTTATTGTAAGTCAAGTCTGATTTCTACTGCGCAGGCCACACCAGCCAAATGTGTCATCTTTTCAGGAAATACCCATCAAAGTACTACAACATTCAGCTTACTATGTTAAAAGCTTTTTCCCCTCTGGGGTGGGGACCACATTTCTGTATTCCCCATACCATGTACCAGAGTGCTTGGCACCTATCAAAATAATGTCTGTTGTTTTAAAGAATTCTTCCTTTTTTAAATTGTACAATTCCCAATTCGATTTTATGTTTATCAAGACAAAGGCAGCACTGGTCTACTTCCCTTTGTCACATTTTTTGATTCTACATAAAATTTCCAAGTCATTAACTTTTCAAAATTTCCATCCAGTTTCAAGGCTTTCCTAAGGATTTCTGAATAACCCTCTCTGTGGTCCAAGCACATGGTGTAATAGAAAGAGCATCCTCACAAAGCTTCAGCTGGAGTAATCTTTATTTTTTTATGTTGGATACTGGGTAGTTGGGCGTTCCTTATATTATTCTCTACTTTGTATGTCTGAAATATTTCATAATGGAAAGAAGGGAGGGAAGGAGGAAGGTTGGTTTGGATAGATCTATTATTTAAGATGTTACTTAAGATGGTTGTGCAACCTTGGGCTTAGTTTTCTCATCTGTAAAATGGGGAAAGGCAGCCCTCTCTAACCAGTGGAGATACTGTGACGATAAAAGGGGGTAAACAAATGTATTGGCAGCTGTCCAGTTAACTGTTTGCTTGAAAATGGAGGGGCATCTCCTAACTGTCCATCCTGCCAGGAGTACTCCAGTAGGAAAACCCACTGGCTGGCGCCTACAGAAGAACAGAGCTCAGAGCAAAAAACAGGGTAGAGAAAAAACTTAGCTGGTTAGTCACTCATAAACCTTCTTCTGGGATGTTAATATGCACTGCAGACAATGATAGTTCCATTTACGGTGACTAAGAAATGAAGTTCAAATTTACACTTTTGGGGTGAACCCCTGTGGACGTTCCCTGAATTTGGCAGGAGGAAGTGTGACGATCTTCCATTTCTGTCACTCTTGGCATTGCTTTGCACAGAAAAAAATTCTAAAGCTTCATGTTCCCTACAGGCCTTTGGCCGTACTACTCCACAACAGCTGACATTAATCACAGCAGACTGGATTTGCACTCCGCAGTCTGGGCTACGTGCCTCTCCCCAATCCTATGCATTAATTTACAGAATGGTGAGAGGAGAAAAGAAATCCCACTTTACACATATCTCGCCAAAGAGGCCAATCAGGCTTATTCTCGGTTTCTCAGTCCACTCTTTGTTTTTCAATGTCTGAAAGAGTTCTAATACTGGGGCACTGTGTTAGATTAAAAGGCTTGGTTTACATCTGAACACCTGTATGTGATTTCTCTTTGCTCCTTCTCCCCAGGCAAAGACACCACCCAGAATTTCATAAGACTTACCCCTAGGAGAAAATTACTGTCGTCTAAATCTGAGTCACTTGTGGTCAAGTTACCTCATTCTCCAGATAACTGGCAAGAACCGCAAAGTGGCCACACAAATCATTCTCACACTACCTGTTCTGCATTTACCATCTTCTTTTAGATTCTGAATGTCTTGAATCCATGAATCTAGACTCTACATGTCGCCACTCACAGTTTCAGTCACTCGCTCTGATAGCAAAGGTTTGGAATGAATCCGTCTATAAACCCGAATTCTAAATACTTCCAGAAGCTTTGACATTTTATTATTACATACAGGGTTTTCTTAGGACACTGGAATCTGGCTAGAATCCAATTTCCAGAAAGGGAGAATTCATTATAAACCAGTTTCATCTTGAGACACATGGAGAGGGGTCGCTAGTTAAAGAATATGTAAATTAGTAGCACTGTCCCGAATTACAAT